ATCCTCCCCCCCCCCCCCCCCCCCAAAAAAAAAAAACAGCTGAATAGTAGCTAAAAAAAAGAAGCAAAAATAAGCATAAATTACCAAAAGAAAGTGGTGAGGGCACGTTTTTGTTGAATTAGGCTGAAAAAAAATGAACTGAGTGCAAAAACAGAGCTAAAAAACAGAGCCAAAAAAGCTAAAATCAGCTAAATAGTAGCTGAAATAGCAGAAAAACCTGAAACTGGCAGAAATAAGCTGAAAGGAGCACAATAAGCTGAAATTACTAGAAAGAACCACAAAAATGTTTGCCAAAATAATCTAAAAGGAGCACAAAACAGCTGAAATTAGCTGAAAGTAGCTGAAAAAAGTTTAAATTTGCAGAAGGAAGCTGAAAGAAGCTGAACTAGAACAAAATGTGAAAGGAGCAGCAAAAAGTTGTAAACAAATCTAAAGATTTGAAGGATGGAAAATGGGCTCAATTCATTTTCTACAAGAATTAAAATGTCAGGAAAGAGTAAATATTTCAAAAAGCTAAAGTTCCACCAATACCAAAAGTCATAGCAGGATTGTCCTGAAACAGCCGAACGTTTTGATTTATGCTTTGTTGAAATTGCACAAAAATTGTGGAAGAAGACAGATGCTGAAAAAAGCATGGAAGAAAAATGGATCGCAATATGAACAAATACAACAAACACAGATAATACAACACACTGTCTTAAAATTAGTATTACAACAAAAAATGTAAACACGACAACGATATTACTCTGAGATTGTTTTCTATTCTATAAGAGCTACAGCTTTTGTGTCATTTTTATATCCTAAGATACTGCGTGTTTTATTGTTATGATGAGAAGAGTGACAGAACAGTGGCCCAGTTTCATTTCACTATAAACTTGGAGTCTGCCTAACATCGTATTGACCTTCCAGGAGGGGTTGTGACCCTTGACCCCTGTGGTCACCTCTGCAGTCTGGATGGAGTCCAGGTCACGGTGCCTACACCACTCACTCAGGGTAAGCAGTTACACACAAACAGCTACATGCTTGGAATGCTGCCCCCTCCTGGTTAGTAGTGACTCTGAATGAGAGTAGATTTTATGGCCCTGGGGGTGCATGCTTTCAGTATTTCATAAGTCATCCTGTTGGTGTGTCTGCGTGAAGGAGAGAAAATGGGTTTGTGGTTTGCATTCCTCTCTCCGTGTGTATGAGTCACATGAGTTTCGTTCTGCGTTAACACAGGGTGTACAGTACAGTACGGTTGTGTGTATTTCTCATTGCAAACGTACGTGCTGTAAAAATAGGGATGTGCATTTGTGTGTGTTTACTTCTGGTTTGGTTTAATTCATTGCGGTTTGGAACGGCTAACTCTTATTGAGTCACTGCTTCCAGCAACTGCTGAGCAGATATAACTCTTCACGTAGGTTCATGGCAGACTGGGTCGAGTTTCAAAACACGCCAACACATTCACCAGATTTCTATGAAATTTCTCTTTGTGTGAGTGTGAATGCTGACTTGTCGTTTACTTCCACAAACATTGTGCTAACCCCTATCAAAACATCCGGTCTGATCAGAAATTGTAAGCTATCGCTTTCGTTCTGTGCAATTTTATTATCCGAAACATTTACCGGTAGATTCATTTTAAAGGAAATTCCCCATGAAAAATAAAATAAAATAAACAAAACGTTGAGATATTTCCATATTCTTCAACAACAATGATCTTTCAGCGTTTTGCTCTATTTTAATCTATTCATGCTACATTTAGCTTTTGGGGGAGTGGTGGTGCAGAGGCTAGAGAAGGTGGGGCTGTGATTGGAAGGTCGTCGGTTCAACTCCACAAATCGACGACATCAAAATATGTGTGGGAAAGGTGAAACAGCCACATCTGCCTCCACCCTCATTTGCCTCACTCTGGGCCCTTGAGCAAGGCCCTTAACACCATCTGCTCCCCCGAGCGCCCTAGATGGTGTCTCTCTGCTCCGCACAGAGGGCTGTGGTAGCTCGGCGGTCTGTGGTTGCGTCAGGAATTAAGAGCATCCGTTGAAAAAACAATCACCAAGTCTTTGTGCGAATTAGTTCACTGTGGTGACACCTGAAGGGAGCAGCCGAAAGAAGAAATAAAAGAAGCTACATTTAGCTATTAAATCCAATGCTGCCACTTTTAGCTTTTAGCTACGATTTTGCAACCTTTAACTTTGAACTACAATTTTTCTGATGTTAGTTTTTAGATATGGTTTTGCTCCTTTTAGCTTTTTACTCGCTATGCTTTAGCCACTTTTAAAGTTTTGTTAGCGCTTTGCTACTTTTAGCTCAACTGTTGTTTTACTAATTTTAGCTGTTATTTGTCTGATTTTCATTCTAATCTAGCGTTTAGCTAATTTTAGCTTTTAGATACTGTTTGGCAAATGTTCATATTAATCTAGCATTTAGCTAATTTTAGCTTTGTTTGGCTAACTTAAGCTTCAAGCAAATGTTTAGCAAATTTTAGTTTTTGGCAACGGTTTTGCTATATTTAACTTTTGGCTAGCATTTAGCTAATTTAATTTTTAAAATAATGTTTTGCTGTTGTATTTTTAGACACTGTTTAGCTATTAAGCTAAGCTTTTAGCTAAAATGTTGCTACTTTTAGTTAGTGTTTAGCTTATTTTAAAATTAACAAACTTTTGGTTTTAGCTACAGTTCTGCTACTTTAGCTATTGTTTAACTAATTTCAACTTTAAGACAGTTGGGGGTTTTTTTTGTGCAAATTTTTGCTTTCTGCAACAGTTTTTGTTGATTTTAGCGGTCACACTTTACAATAAGGTACACAAAATTTGATTAACTACCAGGGAACGCCTAAGGAACAACTCATGAGCTAATGGGTAGTTAACCAGTACTTACTGGGGAACACAGAGCCAAGCCTAAATGGGGGACTACTGGTTTGTTACCACAGAAACAGAGAAGAAATTCTCCATGTGAGTTCTGAATAAACCCTGCACCAGTGAGGTCACAGCTCGTAATTGTCAAACACCTGTTTCCTAGTGATTACTGATTTTATTACCCATTACCTCCTAAGTCATTCCTCTTTAGTTTTCTTGGTAACTACCCATTAGTTATTGATTAGTTTCTCTTTGTTTACAAGGTAACTAACCAGTAATCCCCTAATAAGGCTTGGCTGTTTGTTCCCCAGTAAGTACTGGTTAACTACCCATTTACTCCTGATTTGAGCCTGATTCGTTCCTGAGGCGTTCCCTAGTAGTTAATCAAATTGTGTGTACCTCATTGTAAAGTTTTAGCTTCTATTTTGCAACAATTAATTTTTACAGAAAAGTCAGTCAACCCTCAGGAATCACTGATTTTTTTTTTACAGAAAATCTAGTTTTTCTCCCCTTATCTTGTTTTTTATTTTTTTATCTCAGCTCTTGACCCGGTCCATGACTGTTTTGTTTGTTTTGTGACCTGACTGATTTATCTGTCGCCTGTTTGAAACCGTCTCTTCTTTACCCACTTCCCAGTGCCCTGCGTATAAGTAAGCTTTTTCTTTCCATAGACTTTTCATTTTGTTTTTCTCAACCATACAATTTTCACTTTTATTTACTTGATCAAGCACCATTCTGGTTTTGCTTTCCTCTTTTAGCTGTCCCTTGTCAATGTGTCCTGCATGCGCTGACGGGTCATTTAAAGTTAAACACTGATAGGACCTTTTGAAGCACTGCGTTGGGGGCGAGGGAGGAGAAAAGGACTGAAAAAGAGAGAAAACGTTAGTAAAGTCAAAAGGGCATGGTTAGGAAAATTATGGAGAGCACATTTCAGGAACATCCTCTGGCCTCATGCTCTGGGTAAGTCTAACCAAACACAGCTTATATTCACACAAGAGCACTGCAGGGCAGTCTGGAGCCCATTAGCTATGTTTAGGAAATGATTTGGTCTGCATTTGGGAATTTTGGAGCTTAACCTGGAATCACATCAGCTTCACTGCAACAGCTGAAGGACACCTGTAAGAAAAAAAGCCTGAAAAGTTGCAAAAAACAAACACTTAGGATAACATTTTAACTAAATTTATATAACTAAACATATAAAATGAATCTACATATTGGATGTCTTGAATCCTACATCTTTTTGTTTCCTTCGGTAGCAAAAACTCAATTTCCCAGAATTCCTCCTGATCAGACCATATGCTGCTGTACAAAGCTGCTCTGAAAACCACCCTTTTTTATTTAATATATGCAGACTTCGTGAATAAAACTATCAAATAAAGCTGCCAGACAGACTATAAAAAAGGCTGGGGGAAGGGTACTCCATTAAGACTTTCTTTTCAGTCATTTATTTGTCTCCCAAAGTCTTAAGTGTATTCAGAGCCAGCCAGTTTATAAACTCTTTAAATCTCTCTTCAAATAAATCCTAACTTCAGGGAGCTAGTTTGCCATTAAGACGCCACATTAAGAAGTTAGTCTCTGTAAACTAGCATGTTTGGGGTTCCATTTATTAAGCAGATTAAAAAAAAAAGAACAAAAAAAAAAGGTAGGAAGACAAAGAAAGTGAAGAAGGCGTGCACATACCTCACTGTCCTACTGTCTTCGAACGTACCACCAACACAGAAAAGTAATTGCGTTCTTTACTGTCACGTCACTTATTGCTTATATTTACTTGTTAAGATATTCAAGAAGTTATAGTTATTGTATGACAGACTACATATTTGGCTTTATTAACTCTTAAACGGTTTGTTTAAGGTAATCCAGAATCGTAACACCCCTATTTTCTGGTGAAACTTGGTACGGTCCAGGAGTCAGACTCTGGGGCTCGCGCATAGTAAATCATTGAACTTTCTCCGAGGCGTCGTCTGGAGGTGCAGAGGGGCTGTCTTCATCAAAAAGCGACTTTGAGACTTATTTTATATTAAAAACATAGCTCATTATTTTATTTCTGCTGAAGAACAACCTCTCTGTTTGGGATGTTGTTGTGAAAAGCTGCCACACTTACAAAAAATAACATTATTTTGTCGTGAAAAGTCATCTCTGAATGGGACTCACAAGGTTAGTGATGGGTTATTTATCGTTTTATTTTATTATTGTATTCCATTAAGCTGTAGCTAGTTGTATTTATTTATAGTGCAGCGGGGCTTCAAAAATAAAATGCATTTTGTGTGTATTTTATCACTTTGTGGATTGTTTAACAATTATAACAGCTTTAGTCGAAGTGAAGATCACTTTGGCTTTTGTGTATGTTAATTAACAAAAAATCTCTTTTGCCTTAACTTCTCATTCAGGTTTTTTTAATTCATCACATGATTACCTAAACACCTTTATACCAGCATACTGTTTAAACTGACCTCTCTGTGTAAGGTTGTGTTATTGAAGATGTAAATAAGCACTTTTTGTTTTAATTTAAGCATCACGAAGCAGTTTTGTCCACCTATGGATGCATCTCAACCCCAAATAAAAGGAACCGACAAACAGATGTTCACTGTTTGTTGAGAATAGTGAACAATATCAGTTCATGTCTGGTCTGTTGCATCAGGATTGAGGATGCAAATCATTTCGAGTGTGTGCGTTGGAGTTTTAAATAAACCTGCAGGTGTGTGAGTGGACAAGACAAAGGAAACGAACCCACGGTAACGAAGCGCTCGGTGATACCTGACACCTGAAAACAAAACCTGGCCTCCTGAGCTGGACGCTATTGCTTTTGTCTTATCCTCTGTCAGCCCGTTTTAAGAAATTTGTACCAGTTTAACCGTTATATGGAAACTTTCTGACTTTTCTTTCTGCCTAATTAGATTCAGGACTGTTCATAGTTTGGACCCAGGCTTGAGGAAGGTGGGGTGTGTCGATGTCTAAAAGATTTAGGATCCAGCAGATAGGTGGTTCCATAAGATGACGAGAAGTGTTTGTGACAAGTTAAATCTTCAACGACTCCCCCGAGGACGACAAATCTGTGTCCGTGAGTTGCTTCTGAACCCCCCCGTTCCCCAGAGAGGGTTCATTTGTGGTTTGAAAGCTATTTTACTCTCCTCCTGGGAGCTGCGCGCACGTATATTTTAA